GTTCTTGGCGGTGATGGCCCTCGGTGCGGCAGGCGCAGCCCGCGAGTACGCTGGATGTTCTGTTTTGTTTGTGTGTGAGTGTGTGCGTGTGTGCGCGTGTGTGTGTGTGTGTGTGTGTGTCTGTGTGTGGGGGTCGTGCGGGTGTTGCAGGTGTTGGCGTGCAGGGTTGCGCGGGACGGGAAAGGGGGGTGGGAACGATGATGACGACGAGACTGGGGATCGAGATGCTGATTGATGATGCTGATGCTGATGCTGATGCTGATGCTGATGGTGGTGGTGCTGTTGGTGATGGTCCTGATGACGCCGATGGTCATGATGGTTCTGATGGCGGTGATGCTGACGACGGTGGTGATGATGCTGATGATGATGGGGGAGATTTTGAGATTGCCAGGGTGGCGATGATAATGATGATGAACCGCATCACCTTGGTGGTAATTCTGATGACGAGTATGGCAACAACGACGACAATTATAGTGGGGATGGTGCATTTGATGGTGGTGCTGACAACGACGACGAGGATCATGATGACGACGACGATGGTGATGGTGATGGTGATGGTGATGATGCTGGTGCTGATGATGATGACGATGACGATGCCGATGACGGTAATGATGATGATGCAGATGATGATGATGATGATGATGATGATGATGATGATGATGATGATGATGACGATGATGATGATGATGATGATGATGATGATGATGATGATGATGATGGCGATGCTGATGCTGATGATGATGATGATGATGATCACGATGATAATGACGATGATATTGACGATGCTGATGATGATGATGCTGCTTCTGTGGATGATGATGACGGTTATGATGCTAGTGATGGTGCTGGTGATGGTGATGGTCATACTGATGGCGACGATATTGATACTGATGATGCTGCTGGTAATGACGACGATGCTGATGGAAATGTATGACGGTGAAGGGGACGGTGATGAGTATGATGATGCTGGTGATGCTATTGACGACGGTGGCGACGATGACGACGATGATGATGACGATGATGATTACGACGATTATGATGATGATGATGATGATGATGATGATGATGATGATGATGATGATGATGATGATGATGATGATGATGAAGATGATGATGATGATGATGGTGGTGGTGGTGGTGGTGGTGGTGGTGATGATGATGGTGGTGGTGGTGGTGGTGATGGTGATGACGGTGATGATGGTGGTTTTGATGATAGCGATGAGGCTCCCCCTTTCATGGAACGGGCGCGGTGCACACTTTCAGACAACAGCTGGCGGGAAGGGGCAGCACACCACCCACTCCGACCTCCAGTAGCGGCCGAGCCCTTCGGCCCACCGCTCAAGCGGCCTCGCCGCAGCGGCCACGCTGCTTCTCCGTCCTGAAGCTCGTCCCTCTCGAGGGAGGGCCGTGTTGGAGGGAGGCTTGCCCGTGGCCTATGGTGCACCCCTGTACAGGGGAGGCCAGTCCGATTGCACGGGGCAGAAGGGCCTTCGGTTTACCCCTTACCTAGGGGGAGGCCTGCCGCACCTCCAGTGCTTCTGGCCTGTGGGCCACCCCCCCAAACAGGCCTGCCCAATGGGGACGGGGTTGAGAAGCCAGGGGGACTCGATCCGAGTGCGGCCGAGCCCAGCACCGCGCAACGATGCGGTGCGCGTGGGCCTGGGCCCCGCGCCTCTGCTGGCGGGAAGGGCGGCAGGCCTCCTGCCACCCGACCTCGGGTCTCAATCGGAGACCTCGGGCACGCCCGCGGTCGAGCCCGCAGGCCACGCTGCTTCGCCGGCCTGCAGTTCGCCCTTCTCGAGGGAGGGCCGTGTTGGAGGGAGGCTTGCCCGTGGCCTATGGTATGACGATGCTGGTGCTGGTGATGCTAATGGCGACGACGACGACAACGATGATGATGATGCTGCTGGCGATGATGATGATGATGATGGTGATGATGATGATGGTGATGAGGAGGAGGATGAGGATGAGGATGAGGAGGAGGAGGTTGATGATGATGATCATCATCATTCATGATGAAGAGGGGGTGGATGATGACATCGTTGCGGTTGATTCTGATGACGGCGATGCTGCCGGTGATGATGATGATGAGGATGATGGCAGTGCTGCTGATTATGGTGTTGATGCATGTGCAATTAAAGGCGACGACGACGGCGTGGTCATGCTGATGATGATGATGGTGGTTTCGATGGTGGTGATTGTTGTGGTGATCATGATGATGGAGGTGGTGGTGGCGGTGGTGGTGGCGGTGGTGGTGGTGGTTGTGATGATGGTGATGATGATGACGGCGGTGGTGATGATGATGGCGGTGGTGATGATGCTGATGACATCGATGCTGATGGTGATGATGGTAACGATGATGGTAGTGCTGCTGACTATGGTGTAGATACACATGCAATTAACGGCGACGGCGACAGCGACGACGACAACGGCGTCGTCATATCGATGATGATGGTGACGATGTTGATGATGGTCGTGGTGAGGATGATGATGGTGTTGACGATGTTGAGTATGCTGATTGTGCTGATTATGATGACGATGGTGCGGATGGGGATGAGGATGAGGATGAGGATGATAATGATTTATGCTGATAACGGTTCTGATGATGATGACGAAGATGAGGATGCTGCTGATGATGATTATGATTGCGACGATGAAGATGGGGATGAGGATGAGTATTATGAGGATGGTGATGATGGTGATCATTCTGATGATGATGATGATGATGACGATGCTGGTGCTGTCGATATTGCTGACGATGTCGATGTTGATGGTGATGGTTATTATGTTGGTGATGATGATGTCGATGATGCTGATGCTGCGTATGATGAGGATGCTGCTGCGGATGATGGGATTGATGATTACAAAGCTGTTGTTGATGATGCTGATGATGATGGTGATGTTGATGGTGCTGATACTGATGCTGGCAATACTGACGATGATGATTCTGATGACCATGCTCATACGGTAGATGATGCTTATGACGATGACGATGATGCTGATGATGATGGCACTGTTTATGATGATGATGATGCTGATTACGACGACGATGATGTTGATGATATTGATGATGACGAGTATGATGCTGCTGTTGCTCCTGATACTGGTGCTGCTGATGCTAATGACGGTGATTATGATAATGTTGATGATGCTGATGATGATGGTGATGGTGCTGATGATGATGACGCTGTCGATGATGCTGATGGTGATGGTGATGACGCTGATGATGATGCTGCTGATGATGATACTATTGATGAGGATGAGGATGAGGATGATGATGCTGCTGATGATGCTGATGATGCTGATGACGATCGCGACGGAGGTGGTGGTGATGCAGATCCTGATGATGATGATGATTCTGACGAGGATGATGCTGATTATGATGATGCCGATGACGATGACGATGATGATGACGATGATGATGATGTGGATGCTGCTGCGGAGGATTCTGATGATGTTGATGATGATGACGATGATGACGATGATGATGTTGGTGGTGGTGATGATGGTGGTGGTGGTGGCGATGCTGATGATGCTGATGATGTTGATGATGATGCTTATGCTGCTGATGATGATGATGATGATGATGATGATGATGATGGTGGTGGTGATGATGATGATGATGATGATGATGATGATGCTGATGCTGCTGATGATGATGATGATGATGATGATGATGATGATGATGATGATGATGATGATGATGCTGATGACGATGATGATGATGATGATCATGAGGATGATGAGGATGATGGTAGTGGTGATGATAGTGGTGATGGTGGTGGTAATGTCGAGGAGGAGGAGGAGGAGGAGGAGGAGGAGGAGGAGGAGCATGAAGAGGAGGAGGAGGAGAAAGAAAGAGGAAGTAGGAGGAAGAGGCGGCGGAGGAGGAGGAGGAGGAGGAGGAGGAGGAGGGGGGGGGAGACGCATGGTGCGAGGGAGGGATGCTGCGGCAAGAGGAGGAGGGGAGGGGGAGGGAGGAGAGGGCAGCGTTCAGGACAGACACCAATGCCATCAGCTTCGAGCCTTTGGGGGGAGGGAAGGAGCGCTATGAAGATGAGGAGAGTGGGGAGAGGCAGGGGAGGAAGGGGATGAAGGAGGGAAGGAGGGGGAGGGGAGGAAGGAGAGGGAGGGGGAGGAGGAGGAGGAGGAGGAGGAGGAGGAGGGGAGGAGGAGGCGGAGGAGGAGGAGGAGGCGGGAGGAGGATGGAGTGGAGAGGAGTGAGGAGGAGGAGGAGGAGGAGGAAGAGGCGGCGGAGGAGAGGAGGAGGCGGAGGAGGCAGGAGGAGGAGGGGAGGAGGAGGAGGAGGAGGAGGTGGAGGAGGAGGAGAGCAGGAGGAGGAGGGAGGAGGAGGAGGAGGAGGGAGAAGGAGGAAGATGAGGAGACAGGAGCGGAGGAGGAGGAGCAGGAGGAGGAGGAGGAGGACCAGGAGGAGGAGGAGAGAGGAGGACAGGAGGAGCAGGAGGAAAAGGAGGAGAGGAGGTGGTGGAGGATGATTGAGGTGGAGGAACAAGCAAGAGCAGGAGAGTAGAGAGGAGGAGTCGAGCAGGAGGAGGAGGAGGAGGAGGATAGGTAGGGGGAGGAGGTAGGAGGAGGAGGAGGAGGAAGAGGAGAAGGAGCGAGGAGGAGGAGGAGGGGAGGCGGAGGAGGAGGAGGGTGGAGGAGGAGGAGGAGGTGGAGGAGGAAGAGGGGAGGAGGAGGAAGAGAAGCAGGACAGGAGAAGCAGGAGGGAGCAGGAGGAAAAGGAGGAGGTGGACGGTGGAGGAGGAGGATGGGGAGGGTGGGGTTATGGGGAGGAGGAGGAGGAGGAGGCGAAGGAGGAGGAGGAGGAGCAGGAGGAGGAGGAAGAGGAGGAGGAGGAGGAGGAGGAGGAGGAGGCGAAGGAGGATGAGGGAGAAGCACGGGAGAGCAATAGGGGGTCGCGGAAGAGCAGGACGAGCAGCAGGAGGTGGAGGAGACCCCCTTTCGGGCCGCCTCCCCCCCCTGATCCCCTGGTGCAGGAGCGCTGCCCTCTACGGCGCGGTGCGGCCTTGCGGGATGGGCGGGGTGGTCTCGCTCCTCTGGCTCCTCCTACCTTTCGGCCCCTCTTTCTCCCTCTCCTCCCGGTTTTCTTCCTGGAAGTGGGGATGGGCGAGGGAGGAGAGGGGAGGGTGTGGAAGGGAGAATATGGAACTGGACCAGGAGGAAGGTGGATGACCAGGGAGAGTAATGGGGAGGAGGAGGCGGATGAGGAAACGTGGGAGGAGGAGGAGGAGGAGGAGGAGGAGGAGGAGGAGGAGCAGGAGGAGGAATGGCGAGGAGTAATGGGGAGGGGGAGGAGTACGTGGTGAGGAAATTTCAGGCGAAACGCCCGGCCCACCCTACCGACACGCCTCGGAGCGCGACAGTGAGGAGTTATTTCTAGGGAAAGGGATTTAGGAGGAGGAGGAGGAGGACGAGGAGGAGGAGAAGGACGAGGAGGAGGATGATGAGGAGGAGGAGGGCGAGGAGGAAAAGGAGGAGGAGAAGGGGGAGGGGGAGGGGGGGGGAGGAGGAGGGGGAGGCGGAGGAGGACGAAGAGGAGGAAGAGGAGGAGGAGGAGGAGGAGGAGGAGGAGGAGGAGGAGGAGGCGCCACGAGGAGGAACCGGGAGGAGCAACCCGGAGGAGGAAGGGGAGAGGTTGCCCCTCTGCCTTTGCCTCCCCCGCTTCTGATTGGCCCCGCGCGCGGCGGGCGCGGAACGGCGTCAACTCGTGCCCCCCCAAGTTGCTTAGCTGGGCCATGTTCTCAACCTCGCCCTTCCCCCATCCTCCTCGCCCCGCGCAGCGAAGTTTTGGCGCTGTCCCGAAACGGCTCGTGCTAGATGGGGTTTCGCCAAATTTTGAAAATAGCGTGGGCGATGCTGGTTACGGGGCCTTCCCAGGGCCCATCCAATCCTGTCCCCGCTCGGAGCTTTACGCTTTCTTCCAGCTCCCTCAAGTGGCAGTTCTGCCTGTCGTGGTTTATGCAGTTTTAGAAGGGCTCGTTTCAGGATTCAGAGATGGTCCAGCCTGGGCCTGCGCCCGTAGCAAACCCAGCGTGGACCTTCTGGAGGCGATCAGGGTCAAGGTCAGGGGCTTGAGGGGTCTCAGCAGGGAATTTCGAGTTTGTCACGGGAAGGCTCACCAGACTGGCTCGTTTTCCGCAGTACGTGGGGGCAGGTGGGCTGACCTCGCAACAGCGCGAGGGCAAAAGGACCTACACAGTGCTCCCAAGGCAGCCTCTCAGTTTATGAAGCTTGCGCGCAGGACATCGCGCAAGGTGTTGCAGTGCATGGTCAGCGCGTATGAGTTGCACGGAGCCGCGGGCAGGACGCTCACCAAGCCCAGGATTAAACGTGCTCGGTTTCCTCGGACGCACCGTGGCAGCCTGTTCAAGAAGAGGCACGCCCCAATGAGTTGTGCCACTCCCCGTCGTCTCTGGGCATGTACTCCAGATTCCGTAATAAAAGGGAGGGGGTCTGGACCCTCCAAGACAAGCCATTTCAGACCCCCCCCGTGGGAGAACCCTCCAAAACATCGTCCCCAGACCCCCCCAGGCCCTCCAAGATAGCCTGGAAGAGACCCCCCCCGAAATGAGACCCCCCTCCCTTTATTACGAAATCTGGAGTGCGCTTTTGTGAGCGAGGCGCCAGAGCTGCTGGTGCCAGCCGCGCCCTGGAGGCTCAGGCCTGCTTCGCGGGGTCGCTCGAACCGCGGGCCGCCAGAGCCCGCACCTCGGGCGAGGGCTGCCCTGCCCTGGACGCGCTGCTCCCCAGGGGGGGAGGGCGGCCCGAGCGAGGCCGAACTCGTCCACGGGATGCCTGCGGCCTCGCCCCCCCCAGGAGCGAGGCGGAGTGCGCGACTGGCACCCTGCCCAAGGCGCGCGCATTCGTTCGAAACATTCGCAAGGGTCTCACGGAGTGCGGGCGAGCCGTTCTCAGCACGTGGCTCTCGCCTTCGCGCCGCGCACCTTCGTTGGAAACATCTGTAGAGAGCTTCACGGATCGAGGGCGGTTCCTTTTCACAGTATGGCTCTCGCCTCAGCGTGTCGCACATGATGAGCCTGTTTTCCACCACCACCACCATAAGTTGGAGGGGGGAAGGAGGAGGAGGAGGAGGAGGAGGAGGAGGAGGAGGACGAGGACGAGGAGGAGGAGCGAGGAGGAGGAGAGGAGGAGGAGGAGGAGGAGGAGGAGGAGGAGGAGCAGGAGGACCCCCCCCTCCAACTTATGGTGGTGGTGGTGGAAAACACGCCCATCAGCACATTCGTTTTGAGCGGGCTTCGGATGTGGACCCTCGGTCGGAGCGCGGAGCTGGCCAGGGGCATCGCGCGGGGGGGGCGGCCCCGGCGGCGAGGCCCTCGAGGGGCCGTCCCTCCGTGGCGCTCGCGCTCCGGAGCGGTCTTTGCCGTCGACGGTCGAGGGGCGGAGTGCTCTACACCTTAGGCGATGCTTAAGAAAACCTAAGATTTCGGCCAGAGTCTCGATTATTCTTAACGTTTCAATGTAAATCTTTAGATTTTAACAGGAAGGTTGGGTTTTTATTCAAGTTCTGAGACTATGAATTTCTTAATCCATGATTTCTTAAGCATTTCGCAGGGTGTATGCCAGCCACCTGTCCTCTGCCATTCTTGTCGGGGGCGGCAAAGAGGGGGGGGGTGACCAGGGGGGGGTGGATCTCATGGCGGGGGCCATGAGATTTCCCCAGATTTCATGGCGCCTCGTCTCATTTCATGACGTCTCTGGCCCCCCCCCCCGCTGGGCCGCGCACGTGCCGCCGGTCATGATTTGCACCCCCCCCTCTTGGACACCCCCCTCTTGGCCGCTGCCGATCTTGGGATTTCGGCCGCCTGTGATGATCAGCCCCACATCTGCCGAGCAGACGTGCGCGGGCGTCAGGGATCGGCCGGCGCTCTCGCAGGCTGCTGTGCCAGCTGCGCCCCTCCCTCTGAGCGTGGCCCCGTGGAGCCAGTCCATGCCAAGGGCCATCACCTGCTTGTGGAGCCAGGACACTTTACGTTATGCAGAGCCTGCGGGCATTTTGCTGCGGGGTTTATTGACCGCCTGCTTCTGGACTGGGAGTCACCGCGTAGGCTTTCATCTCGAGCCTCGAGGAGCGGGGCGCTGTTCTTGGCGGGAAGGCGAACACCCAGTCGAGGAAGGCAACGCTGACTCTCGTCTGATATCCGCGCACCGCGCGACGACGGTGTCGGACCCCGAGCCGACCTGCATGCGCCTCTAATCTTTCGGGCCGCGGATCCGCTCGAAACTTGTGTGCTTTTATGCGCCTTTTCTCGCGTTGCGAGCCTCGAGGAGCGGGAACATGTTCCTGGCGGGAAAGCGCCCAGTCGACGAAGGCGCAGCCAACTCTCGCCTCATGGCCGCGCACCGCGCGGTGACGGTGTGCCCCTGACTTTTCGGGCCGCGGATCCGCTCGAGCTTTGCCTGCTTGCCACTCCTCTTTCTTCGCGCTGGGGCCCGTGGTGGACGGGCGAGGGTGGCGCTCCCCCCGCGCGCGCGACCCGCCCCCCCCCTCCCCGCCGCTTGTCGCTCGCCGCCTGCGCGTGGGCGCCGGCCCCGGCCGCCTCCCTCCTGCGGCGGGGTGCTGCCCCGAGGGCCTTCAGGCTCGGGTGGGGGTGTGGGGGGGGGGGGGGCGCCCTCCGCTCCGCCTCTGGGGCGGGGGGGGAGGGGATGGGTGCTGCCCCGAGAGCCCTCGGGCTCGGGCGGGGGGTGGGGGGGGGGGGGGGCGCCCCCGCCTCGGCTCTGGGGGTGCTGCCCCGAGAGCTCGGGCTCGGGGTGGGTGGGGGGGGGGGGGCCTCGTGGCCCTTCCCCCCCCCCTCTTCTGCGCCTGCCTGTGCCCGGCGCGGCGGCCTCCAGTCCGCGCCGTGTCCTCCCCGCCTCTTCGGCCAAGAAGCTCCTCCTCGCCGCTCGCCGCCGCCCGCCCCCGTCCGCGCCTGCCCCCTCCCTGCCCCTCGCGCCTCCCCACCCCGCCGCCTCCGCGCCCCATCGCCCCTCCTCCTCGCCCCTCGCCCCTCCTCCTCGCCCCTCTCGCCCCTCCTCGCCCCCGCCTCGCCCCCGCCTCCCCACCCCGTCGCCTCCTCGCCCCTCGCCCCTCCACCTCCACTCCCTCGCCGCCCCACGCTCCCCGCTTATTCCAGGTTCCTCGTTTCTGCATTGGTTGCTTGCCTGTTTCTCGCCTGCGTCCCGCCGTGATGCCAACGCACTGGCTGCGGTGATTGCCACAGCACTGCGGTCTGCCCGGGTGCCATGTGTTCTGTCGCATTCGACGGGCGGGTGGCCATTTCCACTGGGCTGATATTCGTGGTGCGTTGTGGGCATGCGGCGCTGGGCGTGTTTGGCTTAATGACGCCGTGATGTGTTGGGCACATGCATACGGTGGTCGATCTCCCTACAGGCGGCGTCCATTTCGTTGCCTCGGGTCTCTTGGCGGGCAAGCGCGATGGTCCCAAGGTGTTCCTGTGAGTCGGGCAGGCAGACTTTTCTCTTTCTTTTCTTTGATTGTGACTACACGTCATCGGCCCAATTCCCATTGTATTCTCCTCCGCCTCCTCTTCCTCCTCCCTCGCCCCTCCTCCTCCTCCTCCTCCTCCTCCTCCTCCTCCTCCTCCTCTTTCTCCTCCTCTTCCTTCTCCTTCTCCTCCCATCGCCTTTCGGCGCCACGCGCGCGCAGCCTTGGTTGGGGCAGGATGACAAACCCGCCGCAGAACCCGAGGGTGCGTGAGGCGTTGCTGCAGGACCGGTGGCGCCGTTCCCGATGGAAAGGACAAGGCGAAAGTCGTCGTGGTTGGCGTGGCCGTCGTCGTCGTCGTAATCGTCGTCAACGTCGTCACCTGGTCGTCGTAGTGGTCGTCGTCGTCGTTGTCGTCGTCGTCGTCGTCGTCGTCGTCGTCGTCGGTGTCGTCGTCTTGCTTGTCGTCGTCGTCGTCGTCGTCGTCGTCGTTGTCGTTGTCGAAGTCATCATCGTCCTTCTTCTGCTCGTCGTCGTCGTCGTCGTCCTCCTCCTCCTCCTCTTCCTCCTCCGCCTCCTCCTCCTCCTCTCCATCCTCCGTCGTCGCGGCCGTCTGCATCAATGCCGTCGCCAACGCCCTCTGAGTTTGCATCGGCATCAACGTCTGCGTCGTCGGTGGCGTCGTCGTCATCGTCGTCGTAGCGTCGTCAGCGTTCTCGCTTTCGCAATTACCGCCGTCGTCGTCCGCATTTTCAGCGCCGTCGCCTCGAACGCTGCCGTCTTTGTCGCCAGCGCCGCCGCCGCCGCCGCCGTCGTCGTGGCGTTCGTCTTCGTCGTCGTCCTTGTCCTCGTCGTCGCCGCCTTCGCCGTCGTCCTCAGGCCCCTGTCCCTCCTCGTCGTCTTCGCCCTCGCCCTCGGGCTTCGGCCCCGCCGTCGAGTGCCACGACGACAACCGCCACTAGCCTCCCTGACGGCCGACGCCGCCGTCAGAGTCGTCATCATCGTAGTCATCATCACCACCATCACCATCATCATCATCATCATCATCATCATCATCATCATCATCATCATCATCATCATCAGCATCATCATCATCATCATCATCATCATCATCATCATCATTACCACCATAATCATCATGAGTAACACCAGTCGTTGTCGTTCGCATCGTCGTCATCGTCACCATACTCACCGCCGTCATCATCATCATCATCATCATCATCATCATCATCATCATCATCATCATCACCATCACCATCACCATCACCATCATCATCATCATCATCATCACCATCACCATCATCACCATCACCATCACCATCACCATCACCATCATCATCATCATTATCATCATCATCAGCATCATCATCATCATCGTCATTAGCATCATCATCATCATCACCCGCAGCATCGTCAGCATCAGCATCAGCATCAGCATCAGCAGCATCATCAGCTTCAGCATCTGCATCATCATCAGCATCTGCAGCAGCATCAGCATCAGCATCAGAATCATCATCAGCATCAGCAGCATCATCATCACCATCATCATCATACTCATCATCATCGTCATCATCACCATCTTCATCGTCCGTAAAAGCATCACCAGCAGCATCATCACCATCATCAGCGTCGTTACTATCATCACACCCCTATCACACGCATCATCATCATCATAGTCGTCAATCGTCATCATCGTCAATCGCCATCATCAACATCATCAACACCATCATCGTCGTCACCACCACTATCGTCATCATCCTCATCACCATCATCACCATCATCCTCATCATCATCATCAGCTTCACCATCATCACCAGCAGCAACAGCATCGTCAGCATTACCACCGTCATCATCACCACCATCAGCAGCACCAGCATCGTCATCATCACCACACGCGGCATCAATGCCATCCTCATCCCCATCACCACGCCCATCCTCATCCTCACCCTCACCTCCATCCCCATCCTCAACCTCACCTTCGTCCTCATCCTTCCTCATCCTCATCCTCATCCTCATCCTCATCTCCACCCCTTTACGCGTCCTCACCCTCACCTTCATCCCCATCCTCATCCTCATCCTCATCCTCATCCTCCGCCTCCGGCGTCGCCGCCGCCGGGCGCAGGACCTGGAGGACTACGGCATCGCGACCGAGACGGCGCGCCCTCGCGCCCCCGCCCGCGCGCGAGCGCGCCTGCGGGGGTCTCGCGCGGCGCACGGGCGCGGCTTCCCGTGCGGGCCTGCGGGCCTGGAGGAGGCGGACGGAGAGCAAGGACATCGAAGAGGAATGGGGAGGGAGGGGGGGAAGGACGGAGGGAGGGAGGAGGATGCCGGGATGAGGAGGAGCAGGGGAGGAGGAGGAGGAGGAGGAGGAGGAGGAGGAGGAGGAGGAGGAGGAGGAGTGGAGGGAGGGAGGAGGAGGAGGAGGAGGAGGAGGAGGAGAGGAGGAGGAGGAGGAGGAAGGGGGAGGGGGGGAGGAGGAGGAGGGAGGCGGAGGAGGAGGATAGGAGGAGGAGGAAGGGAGGAGGAGGAGGAGGCGGAGGAGGATGAGGAGAGGAGGAGGAGGAGGAGGAGGATGGAGGAGGAGGAAGGGGAGGGGGGAGGAGGATGGGGGAGGCGGAGGACGAGGAGGAGGAGAGGAGGCGGAGGAGGAGGAGGAGAAGGATGAGGAGGAGTGAGGAACGGGAGAAAAAGGGGGGTGCAGGGGGAGGAGGAGGAGGAGGCGGACGAGAAGGGGGGGATGAGAGGGATTAGGTGTGAACAGGGGATGCTAAGAGACATACATGAGGGAAGAAGGAAGGACGGAGGGAGGAGGAGGAGGAGGAGGAGGAAGAGTTGGATGTGGAGGGGGAGGAAGGGGGTGCAGGGACGGGAGTGAGGATGATAGGGACATGGAGGAGGAGGGGGAGGATGACCGCACACTCGCGGAGGAGGAGGAGGAGAAGGAGGAAGAGGAAGATGAGGTGGACGAGGAGGACGAGGAGGAGGAAAAGGAGGAGGAGGAGGAGGAAACGGAAGAGACTGAGGAGAAGGAGGAGGAGGAGGAGGAGGAGGAGGAGGAGGAGGAGGACGGCTGATGAGAGAGGATGGTGTATGCGTCGTTGCCTGCCTCCGAGGAGGCAGGTCTGCGAGGGATGAGAAGGGGATCGGGGGGAGGAGGATGGAGGAGAGATGCAGGTCCGCGCGGGATGAGAGGCTGAGGAGGTGGGAGGAGGATGTGTGAGAAGTCTGTATGGCAGACCTCTCCGCAGCTGTGAGGCTGTGAGGAGGAGGAGGAGGAGGAGGAGGGGGGAGGAGGAGGGGAGGAGGGAGGAGGAGGAGGAGGAGCAGGAGGGGAGGAGCAGGAGGAGGAGGAGGAGGAGGAGGAGGAGGAGGAGGAGGAGCAGGAGAGCAGGAGCAGGAGCAGGAGCAGCAGCAGCAGCAGCAGCAGCAGCAGCAGCAGCAGCAGCAGCAGCAGCAGCAGCAGCAGCAGCAGCAGCAGCAGCAGCAGCAACAGCAGCAGCAGCAGCAGCAGCAGCAGCAGCAGCAGCAGCAGCCCGGGCGCTCTTGGGAGTGCACGCCGACGACGGGTGGACGGACGACACATCCATCCAGCTGATATGGCCTTCGGAGCTTTGCGGCATGGGTTCCAGGTCAGCGACGTTGGGAGCGAGGCTGGGACGGCTGGCGGCGCTCGGGCAGTTGCCTGCCGGTTGCGCGGCGACACCTGAGGGCACTGGTGCTGGACGCCGCGGAGGAAGACATGCTGAGCGCAATCCCGCTCGACGGTGCCGAGCGAATGCTGGCCTGGCCGAAGGAAACGCATGGCGTCGAATTGAGCGCTTCAGGCACTGCTGCCGGGGGATCCGAGCCTCGATGGAACCTCAGGGCGCACGTTGATCCGGTCCGAGGGCTGTACGGCACGGTGTCCAGGGTGGCGCAGGAGGCGCAGCGGGCGGACATGTTGGCCAGGCACGCGGCGGCAGAGCAGGCCAGCAGACGGCGCGAAGGCTGCGCGCACTGCCAGGCGCAGCCCTGCCGGGAGCAGGCGCCTCAAGGGCAGAGCTGCGGCGCACCTGCGCCACTGCGTGCGCCTGCGGTCGACCGCGGGCCGAAGGGGTGCACGACGGTGTGGACCACTGCCCGAGCGACCTTCGCTCCAGCTGAACGACGAGCAGTTTCAGCATGGAGTGTGATGGCGGCTTGGCCTGCCGGGAGTGCGTGGGACCGCATGCCGGCACAGGCCCAGCCGGAAGCGCGAGGAGGCCACCAGTTTCTAGGCCTCCTAGACGGGGCCCGAGTGGATGGGGTCGGAGGATCGCGCCGCATCGCCGATGCATCGGCGATGCGGCTCGACGTGCAGGCCGTTCTTCCCCGCGCCGGCGTCGCCGCTGCACCGCCGGCGATGCATCCCCGTTGCATCGGCGATGCATCACCGATGTATTGGCGGTGCGGCGCGAGCCTCCGACCCCATCTATCAGGAGGAAAAGAAACACGCAGACACAATTAATCCTCGATTCCCCAGAACATATGGAAAAATATGGGAAGTGGGGGGGAAGACAGAAACCCAGAAACTATGGGAAAATATGGGGAATCTTTTTATTTGTGTGTATTTATTTGTGTGTCCTGGGGCCCCTTCAATCTACTCCGACCCTATTGAGGATGCCTCTAAAGGCGGCTGGGCCTGTCGGTAATGCGTGGGACCGCATGCCAGCACAGGCCCAGCCAGAAGCGCGACGAGGCCACAAGGTGTGGCAAGCCCTGCGACCGCCTCGGCGACCACGCGCGGCTCTGCGGCGTCGGCAGGGGCCGCTGCAGGGTGCACAATGCTGCCGCCGCCTGCCTGCGGTACATCGCGACGCAGAGCGGCATTGATGCAGAGACGGACCCAGACCTCCTCGCGATGTGTGAAAATCACGATGGGAGGTTTTTCACCATTTTCGGCCTCCAGGGGCCCTCGCCAGGCTTCGAGACTGTCAAAAAACGATTCACGATGAAAAACTGGTCCCTGGGAAGGTGTCCAGACGTCGTGAACAATTCACGACGCCGTATGTCTGGAGAGGTCTGTCCGCCGCTCTTGCAGGGCGAGCCTGGTGCCGAGGATGCGGTGGAGGCCCGCCTCGACGTCCACCTGTGGAGGCACGGGTCAGAGCTCAATGGGGACTGGGTGGACGCCACCATCGGGAACCCGTGTAGACAGGAGAAGAGGCGCCAGGCAGCGCACGAGGACGCCCACGCTGCAGGGGCTGCTGAGCAAACCGAAATCACTGGGCACGGCGATGGCCGGGGAGGAGGCACAGTCTGACCTTTCGGCCTGGAGGCTTTCGGCCGCCTTGGGCGGCACGCCCTCGCCATCCTGGGGAGGCCGGCGCTTCTGCGGGCCGCGCGCGGAGGCGGACGAGCGGCATGCTGCCAGCGGCGCTGGCGGGCGGTGGTCGGCGCGGCGACGGTCTGGGCGCTGGCAGAGACGGCGGCCAGCGCGGGCCAGGAGCAGGAGCATTGAGCCGTTCGTCGGGTAGATTGTTCACACATGTGGATCTGCATTGGTTGGTTCGCAGCAGGAGGAGGAGGATGAGGAGGAGGAGGAGGAGGAGGAGGAGGAGGAGGAGGAGGAGGAGCAGGGGGATGAGGATGAGGAGGAGGGAAGGAGATGAAGGGAGGCGGCGGATGAGGAACGACTCCCTGCATTCAGCGCACATCAACATCATCTTCATTATCACAACCATCATACGTAGCATCAACATCATCATCAACATCAGCAGCAACATCATCAGTGGCACCATCATCTTCTTCACTGCCATCGCCAATTTACGACCATTCGAATCATGCGCATCATCTGTATCATCAGCTATACCACCGGTTGTATCTTTAATCACAACCATCAGCATGAGCATCATCATCGCCAGCATCATCGTCATCATCGTAATTGTCGTCGTCATTGTCCGTATCACCATCACCATCAGCAGCATCATCATCTTCATCATCATCATCATCGCCATCGTGATCAACATAGAACGCAGCACCGTAATCATCATCACCATCACCATCGTCGTCATCACCAAAAACATTGTGCTCATCCTCGCCACCATCATCATCAACATCGTCCGCATCGCCACCATACTCATCATCACCATTATCAGCATCGTCTGCATCACCATCATCATCATCATCATCATCATCATCATCATCATCATCATCATCATCATCATCATCATCATCATCATATTCATCATCATCACCACCATCATCATCATCATCATCATCAGCATCGCCATGGCCGTCATTATTATCATCACCAGCATATTTCCCATCGTCATTATCACCGCCATCAGTATCAGCATCGTCATCACAATCATCATTGTCACCACCATCACCGTCATAATCACAGGTACCATCCTCATCATCATCATCATCATCATCATCACCATCATCATCATTGCATAACCATCATCGTCATCACTATCATCATCACCAGCATCATCATCATCATCAGCATCATCACCATCATCATCATCGTCACCATCATCATCATCATCATCATCATCATCATCATCATCATCATCATCATCATCATCATCATCATCATCATCATCATCATCATCATCACCGTTTGGGTCTTCATTTTTTGCCTCCCTTCCAGCCTCGGCGAGCCTCCGATGGGGGGCTGGGGGCCTTCGCGGGGGGCAGGATGGAGTGGCGCAGGCCCCTGCAGGCCTTGAGGGAGGGGGCGTGCCCGTCCGTTCCCTTGCTGCTCCTCCCCCTCCTCCTCCTCCTCCTCCTCCTCCTCCTCCTCCTCTTCCTCCTCCCCCTCCCCCCACTTGTCCTCCTCTTCCTCCTCCCTCTCCTCCCCCTTGTCCTCCTCTTCCTCCTCCTCCTCCTCCTCCTCCCTCCTCCCTCCTCCCTCCTCCCTCCTCCCTCCTCCCTCCTCCTCCTCCTCTACTCGGTGGCAAAGGCAAGGCCAGCAATCCCTGGATCGCCAGCTGCTCGCAGTATTTCGGCAACTTTGACAGTGCGATCCTCAAACGCGTCAAGTAGTCATGGTTCCCGAGCGTCGGACCGGCGGCCGAGTGGGGGTGGTGCTGGTGGCCGTGTCTCGGGGTGGCACCTCGAGGGGCCTCGCAACGGCGGCGCAGATGTGACTCCTGGGGCGTATCTGTGCTGCCAGTCATGCTGCGAGGTCCGGTTGCATGGTAATTCGTGCAGGCCCCTTGTGCACCTCCCATCGCGTTGTGTCGCCCAGGTGCTCTGTCCGGGCACAAAATAGCTTGAGCCTGGGCCAGGACGGACCGTTTCCAGCGCAAAATCGGGGCGTAAACCCAGACGCTGATATCCCCTGCGCTCAAAGGTCCATCGAGTTCCTCCACGAGCGCGCCCGTGCATGGTCCGCTTCGTGGGTGCCCAGCGTATTCGTCGACGGCATGATCGGCAACCACGAGCATTGGATGGCCTGGTGCGTGCCCTACTTCTCCGCCATCTTCTGCAGACCGCAGTTCGACGTCATCTATGGGAACATGCAGAGTCCCGAACGTTGCCGCAACCATGACGCAATCGACATCTGCACGCGCGCGTGGGACGACACCGAGGTCGGGCGCAACCGCCGCCCCCTGATGTACAACGCGACTCGCCTGCCCTCGGCCGCCCAACGGCAGCGTGATGCCGACGCTGCTGAACTCCACGCGCGTTTCCGGTGGATCGAGAACGGGCCTCTTGCACCTGATGTCCACCCGAACGCCGATGAACCTGAAGCTGACGAAGAGCCGCCCGTGGACCTGCTCAACCTCCACGACTGACCCTCCGCGATCGCCCCCGAGTGGTCCATCCTGAAGACGCACCTGTCGCAGGAGCCTCCGTCCAAGCTTTGGCCCTTTTCTCAAGACGGTCGCAGGCGCTTGGGCCACCAGCTACCGCATGCACATCGGCCAGTGAAGCACACCTGCCTCTTCGGGCGCATGAAGACCAAAGAGCAGTTCAACAACGTCGGCGACATCGCGCACTGCCTGACTTGCCCTCGCATATGGGCTCACATGCGCCTGCCGCGCAGCATCGTCCCCTCGTCCAGCCCGGTTCGCTTCGGCGTGGCAGATGAACTCACCGACGGCGAGAACAACATCGACTACCCAGTTGTCAGGATGATCGTACCGTTGCGCGAGGTACAATTTCGTGCGCATCAGCCATCCTAGCGCCGTCCCCAGCAGCAATTCCGTCCTCCCGATCTGCGCCGCCTAGAGCCAGGGTGCCGCTATTGTCGCCGCCGCCAGCCGTTCCCTGAAGCTGCTTCGCTGTCTCGTGGGTGGTGCGGGGTCGTACGTTGCGTAGATGTGGACATCGACGTTGCCCCCTCAACTGACGTTTGCGCCTCCTGTTCTTTTCCTTCGGCAGCGGCTGGTTTCGCCGATGGCTGGTTTCGCCCGCGGCTGGTTTCGCCCAGCTGGTTTTTGACCCGCCCGTTGGTTTCGCCTGGCTGGCTCCGCCGGCCCACCCTTTCGGGCACCGCGTGCCACTCCCGCCCGTTCGGGTCCCGCCGGCGAAACCAGCCCGCGCCCTTTTTCCCACCGTCGTCCTTCCTCCCTGTTTCCTCCTCCCTGTTCCGCGTTCCATCCCGCCTTGGGGCTGGGGGAGGAGGAAGGGGAGGGAAGAGGTGGAGGGAGGTGGAGGGAGATGGCATGCAGGAGGAGGAGGAGGAGGAGGAGGAGGAGGAGGAGGAGGAGGAGGAGGAGGAGGAGGACGAGGAGGAGGAGGAGGAGGAGGAGGAGGTGGAGGAGGAGGAGGAACTGGAGGGAGTGAAGGGAGGAGGGGGAATACTGGGAGGAGGTCTCAGCATGAGGAGCACGAGGACGAACACGAGAGGAGTGCGGGCTGCAGGCGTGGGTGGCCCGACGGCGGAGCCTGGCGGTGGCTGGCAGCCGGCGGCGGCGGGCGGTAGCGGTTCAACGCAGATGCGCCGACGCCTCGCGGGGCCGTCAGGAGTCATGGGCCCGCTCGACGTGGCCGCCTCCGCACCCGATCAGGACGGGGTGGCGCGGGCGCCCGCCATCTGCCTGGCTATCCTCTTCGCCCTCCTCGTCGTCCCCCTCCGCTGCTTCTCCTGGCAGGAGTCTCAACCCCACCCCTCTGGATGGTATAGCATCACTCACCGGGCGAGGAACGGTATACAATACACTTTTTCGCTGTCGGGGGGGCGCCTGTCCCAGGGTGCCTGGGAAGTTTTTTCCCCTGGCACGTCAAGATATAAACTTTCCAGCCGCCCTGGGGCAGCGCTCCCGGTGACGGAGAAGTTGATTTGAAAACCTTCTTTCGCCCGCTGAATCACCCCTTCCTTAAATATCCTTTTCACCCACAGCATTGAGTGTGGTTCAATTGCCACAGCAGGCGGGGAGGCCGAACTTTACCATCCCCTCCATCCCCTCACAAATTTCTATCGCAGCACCGAGCTTCGAAGAAGATAGATACGATATCGGATGTCTCGACGTGGATGTCTCCGAGGATGTATGTCTGTCAGGATGTATCGATGTCAGGATGTATGGATGTACCGATTCATACATCCTAACAACGATATATCCGAGGAAAGAATTTCTATCCCGCCTGGACCCCGAACCTTATTATGCCCAGGGGGGTATTCTCACCATCGTGGGGTTCACCTCCTAAGCGGGGTCGACGTAAGTGGTGTAGGAGGGTCGCGCCGCGTCGCCGATGCATCGCCGATGCGGCTCGATGTGGAGCCCTGTTTTCTCCACGCCGACGTCGCTGAAGCGTCGCCGACGTCGTCAGTGCATCGCCGATGCATTGGCGATGCGGCTCGATTCCCCGACCCCGTCTACTCAGACCGAATCAGGAGGCATCTAAAATAACTCCTCCCTGTCGCGCCCCGAAACGTGTTGGTAGGGCGGGCCGGGCGCTTCTCTTGAGACCTCCTCAACAGTTAGTTTCTGAAGCTCAGAAATTGCAAGAGTTTCAAGGATGGAGGGCGGGTGGTTTTCAAATGTGGTTTTCGCCTGAGCGCCGCGCGCATTCGTTATGATTATGAAAACTTGCAAGAGCTTTACGATGGAGGGCTCAGAGCGGATGGTTTCCAACATGTAGCTCTCATCCTGGCGCCGCGCACATATCCGTAACCAATGCTTGCAAGAGCTTCGCGGACGAAGGACGGGTGGTTTTCAAAATATGGCTCTCGCGCATTCGTAACCCCATGCCCCTGGTAATAAAGCCTCCCCCCCTCCCCCTGTGTAATGATTATCCCGGGCGCGGGCATTTTTGTTATTCGTCGGCCGGGGGGGCCGTGGCCGAATAGTACCGAATCATAGATCTAACCTTAGATCGGGGCAGGTACCAAACGTAGATATGATCCTCCTGTCATGAGTAGCTTACTTCTCCTTACCGACATCATCATTGTTGTCATTCGCAGCATAATCATCAGTATCTCTCATACGCCCCCATTGTGGCATTCCTCTCACAAGGTTCGTGGTCCCATAGGGAGCTGCAAAGTAGGCTTAAGTGGCGCTGCCCGAATGCGTCCGCACCTCTCAATTTTGCCCCCCCCCCCCCCCCCCCCCCTCAGGGG